TCGGTATCGATGTTACGTCTGCGCCGTTTCGCAAGCTGTCTCGTGCATTGTTTCACCTCCGGCCTGCTCATGCGTCGCCTGAGCCGTCCTGGTCTTTGGACAGAGTGCTCGCTTTCCTTTCATCTCCTCGTTTCGTTGTGGCCCCTTCGGTCCAGGATTGTTTTTCCAAGGCACTTTTCTTGTTGGCTTTGGCCTCTGGGGGTCGGGTAGGGGAGCTTCATGCTCTCCTCCGGCGCAGGGGTTTCTGCTCTTTTGGTCGTGGTGATAGTTTTGTTCGTTTGCAGCCGTCTCCTTCTTTTCTGGCGAAGAATGAGACTGCTGCGTTCCGGAGGGGTCCATGGGTGGTTGATGCTTGGTTGGTCAGGCCGGGGGTGCATCATGTTTTGTGTCCGGTTGCGGCGCTTCGCCGTTATTTGCGCGCCACAGCTTCTGTGTCCGGGGACGCGCTGTGGGTTGATCCGGTTTCCCTTCTTCCCTGTTCGCGGGTTCGGGTCTCTCAGGTCGTCCGCAGGGTTATTAGGTCTAGCCAGCCTGCGGTCTATCCCCGTGCCCATGACGTTCGTAAGTTCGCGGCTCTTGCTGCCGTCTTTGGGAATATGTCTTGGTCTGATATTCGGGCGCGGGGATTTTGGCGGTCGAACAGGGTCCTGGCTGCTCGTTACCTTGTGAATGTCCCTGGCCCTCGTCGGGCCTGTGTTGCTTTGGGTCGGCGGTTGCAGCCAGTTGTCTCGGCTTCGAGTTGAGGGGTGAGCGACGACCGCCTCCCGGGTAAGTCCCTCTTTTTCTGTCTGTGGGTAGTTAGCTCCGGGGAGCCGACGGGGCTCCCCCCAGAAAACCAGCGTTGAATGTAATGAAACGCCATTTTCTGGGTGAGTCCCGGAGGCTCCCCGGCATCCCTCCCTCCCTCCGGTCGGCGGTTTTTTCGCGTTTTTGACATCCAGCCTCAAGAACTGAGGTGTGGGTAGCCGGCGCGGGGGGTCTGGGGCTCCCCCTTCCCCCTCCCGGGGAGGGGGGAGCTGCGCAGACAGCGGCGCGGCAGTGTGTGACGTCACACTAATTTGCTTGTTTTCGGTTGGGGAGTTCTATCCACTAGTTCGGTATTAGGTAGCAATTTTAACCAGAATAGGGGTTTGTTTTGGGGCGCTTACCTTTCTGGGTGCCTGTTCCGGTCGATGGCAGACATAGAATGCTTCCAACTACACGGGGGCTTCTATAGGCCATTGCTCCCCTTGCCTCTCTGAGGGGGCCCGGTTCTGGCCGTGGTCCCCGGTAGGCCTAAGAACTCCATACACATGACTGATGCCAAAGTCTGACATTAGCATATCAGCCTGGGATAGCTCCGGGGAGCCTCCGGGACTCACCCAGAAAATGGCGTTTCATTACATTCAACGCTGGTTTTTTTTTTTTTTTTTTTCCACACACACACACACACACACACCCCAGGAAGCAGCCCGTGACAGCTGACTAACTCCCAGGTACCTATTTACTGCTAGGTAACAGGGGCACTTAGGGTGAAAGAAACTTTGCCCATTTGTTTCTGCCTCGTGCGGGAATCGAACCCGCGCCACAGAATTACGAGTCCTGCACGCTATCCACCAGGCTACAAGGCCCCATGTGTCGACACGTGGGTGTTGACACTCTGTATGATGACTTTAACATATGTACCTTAAGTTCTGACCAATCCCATTTTATTTTATTGTCAATATTTAAATGAATAAATAGCAAACCAAATACTGTACTATTCAACTATTATAGTGTTATTTAATTAATATTCGTAACTAGATCTCCACAGCAATAAGAAAACAATATAATTTTTGCAACACCCCCAATGCCACCCCCCCTTTGTTAGGCTTAATGCAGTCACATACACACACAACAGTTCTTCCTTCCTCCATGACCAACTTCCTCCCTCCCTCCCTTCCTGACCAACTCCCTCCCTTCCTGACCAACTCCCTCCCTTCCTGACCAACTCCCTCCCTCCCTCCCTTCCTGACCAACTCCCTCCCTCCCTCCCTTCCTGACCAACTCACTCCCTCCCTTCCTGACCAACTCCCTCCCTCCCTTCCTGACCAACTCCCTCCCTCCCCTCCCTCCCTCCCTGACCAACCAACTCCCTCCCTCCCTCCCTCTCTCCAGTCACCACCCACCCACCCTACCCCCTCCTACACCATGAGGCTGAACGGCCGCAAGTTAAACCTCTCCAATTTTTTATCTGGCTCCCATGGACATTTTGGCCGGGATATTGAGAACTTTATCCGGTCACAATTTTGGCCGTATAAGGGCGTTTTCCGGATGTTCGAATCCCAGATAATCGAGTGTCTACTCCAACTCACCCAGTCCACCGAGACTGATATTTGGGTGCAGGCAGCTTTAGCGTTGCATGCATGGTTTAAGTTGCAGCAACGTGCGAGGTTGGTTGCCTTTCTGGATGCTCCACAGCTGCCCCGTTGAATTATACTGGTAGTGAGACTCGGGCAACTTCGGGGGTTGCCCCTTCCGGATTGGCGGCGGAGGCATTTGAGCCTAGTCCTCCTGCTGGAGCTTTTGGGCCCGCCAGCGGGCCCCCCTTCATCCCTGCTTTTCCGGTGGACTCTGCTTTTTCTCCAAAGGCAAAGGGTTTGGAGGACGGCTCGGCTTTGGGTCTTGACATGGAGGATACCGGGGCTGGGGAGGAGTTGACCTGGGGGGGCCTGGGCCCCACTGGTCCCTGCTTGGGTGTTTGGTACCCCTTGATGCGGGGCTTGTTGTTACAGGGGTTATCTTCTTGAGGTCATCTTGAGAGGATTTAGAGGATTTTTAGTGTCCCCGCGGCCCGGTCCTCGACCAGGCCTCCACCCCCAGGAAGCAGCCCGTGACAGCTGACTAACACCCAGGTACCTATTTACTGCTAGGTAACAGGGGCATAGGGTGAAAGAAACTCTGCCCATTGTTTCTCGCCGGCGCCTGGGATCGAACCCAGGACCACAGGATCACAAGTCCAGCGTGCTCCTGGCTCGGCCGACCGGGGGAGGGGTTTTCCTATCCCCCTCCCTGTACGATTTTGTTATGAGTTCGACTGCTCCCCAGGTTCGGTTCTGAGTTCCCTTGGGTTTCTCGGTTTCCTCTTTCTGAAGGTTTTTGACTTTCCACATCCCACCGAGGAAGGTGTGGGAGGCCCCTTGCGGCTTACCGCCTGCAAGACCTGGATTACGCCTCGATATTGAAGCCTTCTTCGTTTTGAGTTTGGCTCCTCTTTTCCTTATTGGGTGCATTACAAGGTACCAGAGTCTTCCTGGCTGGCAGACTGTTTTTTCTTCGTGGAGGGCTTGGCATTCATCCTGTCGGACTAAGCACTTGAATGGCGAGAGTTGCCTACGGTCATTCAGGTTTTCCTGGGGGATGATTTGGAGCACCTCAAGGCGTGCTTGTTTGCCCCCGTCCTTCCTTATGATGTCGGCCAGGTGCGGCTTCACGTGCAGGTTCCCTCCCTTTTGGCAACCCTGGTGGCCGAGGATTTGTGCGCCCATGGGCACTTAGCTTCAGTCTTGTGTTTCTTTTCCCTGCTGGAGCTGTCTTTGGACTGGCTCGTGCTGGGTGTGGAGGAGCTGGGTTCTGGGCCAGGGTCCGGTAGGCTTGCTTCAGCAGCTTGGGTGCAGGCTGCTTTGGTGAAGTTGTGTGCGCCGTTTCTGAGGGAGGCAGTGTCTGTTCTTCGCTTCTCGCCTTGCGTGCTGACAAGTGGTGCTCGTCCAAATTTTTGGAATCGTCTTGAGCCTTGGCTCTTAGATTTTCTTCCCCTTTTCTGGGGGGGAGCCCCTATGGCTCCCCGGAGCTTACTAGGCTGATATGCTAATGTCAGACTTTGGCATCAGTCATATGTATGGAGTTCTTATGGGCCTACTGGAGACCACGAGCCAGAACCTGGCCCCCTCTAGAGAGGCAAGGGGAGCAATGGCCTATAGAAACCCCTGTGTAATTGGAAGCATTCTATGTCTGCCATCAACCGGGTTAGGCACCCAGAAAGGTAGGCATCCCAAAACAAACCCCTATTCTGGTGAAAATTGCAATCAAAAGCCGAACGAGTGGATAGAACTCCCCAAACAAAAACGAGCAAACTAGTATGATGTCATCTGTCGTCGCACCGCTGTCTGCGCAGTCCCCCCCTCCCCGGGAGGGGGAAGGGGCAGCACCAGACCTACCGTGCGGCAATCCACACCCCAGTTCTTAAGGCTGATGCTATCGGCTCGGTTGTGTGCTCTGGCTCCAGTTTTTTCTGAGGGGAGCCCCGTCGGCTCCCTAATAATATCAGACTGCTAATATGTTAATATGATGCTAATATCAGACTTTGGCATCAGTCATGTGTATGGAGTTCTTAGGCCTACTGGGGACCACGGCCAGAACCGGGCCCCCCTCAGAGAGGCAAGGTGAGCAATGGACTATAGAAACCCCCGTGTAGTTGGAAGCATTCTATGTCTGCCATTGACTGGATCAGGCACCCAGCAATGTAAGCGCCCCAAAACAAACCCATATTCTGGTTAAAATTGCTACCAAAAGCCGAATTAGTGGATAGAACTCTCCAACAGAAAACAAGTAAACTAGTGTGACGTCACACGTCCCCGCCCTGCTGTCTGCGCAGCTCTCCCCCCCCCCCCCCAGGAGGGGAAAGGGGGGAGCCCCAGACCCTTCACCCTGGCTACCCACACCTCAGGTCTTGAGGCTGATGCTATAGGCGAAGGTCGTGTGCTCTGGCTCCAGTGTCGCTACAGCACTGTGCTTCGTGTGTGGTGTTTTTCTGTGGGTGCGAGAGCCAGGAGTTACCTTCAGTACTCGGGCTGCATGCGCCTAGGGCTGCCTTCCCTAGGTGCCCTGTAAGTACTGCCTTTGGGGCTTGGGGCCACCTTCCACAGGCTCCTCTTCTCGTTGAGATACTTTTAGCTCGTCATGGTTTAGTCAGTAGCGAGTGTACCTGGTTAATCCAAGGACATGGAGAACTATGCTTGATTTTTTTTTTTTTTTTTTTCCAGAGTAACAGACTGAGAGGAGGGGGTTACCGTGTTGCAGTCCTCTACTATAAAGAAGGCAACCAAAGATCAAAAAGGGGTATTCTTCCAGGAAGCAGTCTTACAGAAAAGCAAGGCAGTGCACTGGCTAAAATATTTTGTAGTGAGTACTGCATTTTTATCATTGTATAATACAAGTGATTTTTGTACAACATTTATATTGAGATTATCCACTGTTCATATTCAAATGATATAATACTAAGTAGATTAATAACAGACAAAATTTAAATTTGCATTATATATTTGAATACAGTATATTCATCATACACACAGAAGGCAGCTTTTTTTGTTCAATTATTGAATAAAAGGAAGTTTCACATTATTGTGCAAATTTTGAGTCCAACTGTGTCAGTGGGAAATGTTCTCTATGTGAATATAGTTATTAAAGTCTGCAGATTCTGGGACAATAAGCTTGTATTTGTGTCAGTCTGAGAGAGAGAACGGGTGTGAACTCAAGAATGGCATGAGGGTACACCGAGGCATAATGTACGAACTTACGTTATGTGGATGTAAGCAAATGTATGAATTGGTCCACACCTTTGTTGATCTGTTGTTGGATCACTTGGTATACACTATACATCAGCGCTTATGAGACCTTAACCCTTGCATTGAATAAGGATTACTGCAGGGATTATCTGTATGTACACAGAAAAATAGTATTCAAAATAAGAGTTTTTGTCATCCTATATATATATATATTGTTAAAAACCATACCCTAAGCATAGAAAAAATATCAAGTCAGTTTTCAGTATGCAGCCCATCCTCCGAATACGGGGAGGTAAATGTAACGGCACAAGTAAGTGTAATTATGTACTATTTCTAGCAGTCAGGAATTGTACTTATTACACTTGGTATTAAACCGTACTGTCAAATAATCGCCAGAAATGCACCAAAATATTGTGAATACTGTATTTGAGTTTACCTGAAAAGCTCAATCGAAAACTACAACCTAACCTAACCTTCTTAGTGTATGAGGACAAGCATTTTATTGCTTCTTAATTACAATTAGTACTTAACCTATAGCTATATTGATATTACAATTTTATAAAACTAATAAAACGACTAAAGTCTTTCAATAAATTATAAAATAACTCAGGATATTTTCAAATTGTGTATAAAATCTCTATTGTTTAATAAAACTGAAAAATAAATTCTTTATATTTAAAACTTGTGTATATAGAATCGAACATGAAAACTTCATCCTAAAATTCTTAGTGTTTTAACAGAAAACGAGGAGAATATATGGGGCGGTAAATGTAACGGCACAAGTAAGTGTAATTATGTACTATTCCAAGCAGTCACAAATTGTACTTATTACACTTAGTATTAAACCGTACTGTCAATTCGGAGGATGCATTGCAGGATGGCAGGTATTTACCGAAGGCTTCAGATGCCGATTAGAAACGCCATGTACTGTTGCAAAGTACTTAAAATATCCTAGGATATTATGCATTATCCTAGGTATATGCAATTCAGGGTTAATAATTAACCATAGGCACGCAATTCTTGGACTGGTTATTGCATTGAGTCCCCATCAGACAAAATGGTTGGGTATCCTTCCTTCACTCCATCCTATTCCAGATCTTTGTCATCATATCCCTTCCAAGTGCTATATATATTTTCTGGAGGGAATCCTCTGGTGGCTTCCTGAAGATATCTTGCTGAGATTGATATATACTAAAGAGTCACATCAGTCACAGAAGTTCTGTTTAGCCTACTGGGGACCAGAGCCAGACCTGGCCCCCCCTTCACAGAGGCTCAGGAAGTGGGTGACAATCTGGCACCCCACCGGAAGAAGCCTTCAGAAAGTCAGCAAAACTTTACAGACAACTGGAGGGTTCACAGAAAATTAAGCCTCAAAACTGCCAAACAACAATGCAAATGATTTACACAAAACAATGGATTCACTCAAGCTAGCTTGAAACTCATTAGTACCAATTACTGCCACCAGATGGCCCAGTTGCAACCCTCAGTTAACTCTCCACCTCACTTCTGTTGCTGATGCTCTTTCTACTGCTACAGCTTGTTGTGCCTCCCGTTATTCAGATCACAGGCAACACCCCTCCCCCCCCCCCCCAAGAGCCGACCATTCTTGGACTCTGTTGTCCTGCGGGAAACTTTTGTTAGTGGATGCTTCACATGCTTGTTTTGGTTCTGGCTTGTTTGAACTTGGCTATTTTGGCATTTCAAGCTTCATGCACTCAAGGTTTTCTTTCCTGTGTGCTGGCTAATGCTGCTCTTGCATAGTCAGAATTCCCTTCTCTGGTATGTTTAGGATTTTGTCTTTGAGAGACCTGACCACTAGGTTGGGGATGTTCAAATATCAAATATCCTTGATTTGTTATTCAAATATCCTTGATTCTTCTGTTTGGGCTCTTGGCCGGTTCGCATTCTGGTTATGTTGGGGCACACTAAAATTTGTGTGTGCTTGTTTATACAGCACATAATGGTTGATGTTTGTAGTCTTGTAGTTTTGGCTGTGATTGGTGTCTGTTATTTTGGCGAGTGGCCCAGGTGCCTGGTGTGTTTGCTTTGTTACCAACCTTCAGACCCTGGGAATCTCCTGCATGTGTGTGACCTGATCTGTATGGTTCAGCCCATCAAGCCTGCTCTCCTGAGCGAGTTTGAGGGGTGTTCATCATCCTTACTACTGGATGATGATCATTCTTTCTCTCCTACCATGCTGCCTGGTGAGTCAGTAACATCTTTGACTGGTTCCTTGCTTTGATGGATTCCACCTCCCAGTTGGGGGCATTTCTGGCAGCTGCCGCTTTGTAAGCTAGATTTGCTTGTATTTGGCATTCGTGGCATATTGATGGACTGGATGCCCTGGAGTTGGTCTTGATGGTATTTAGAGACCTAGAATTAGAGGTGTTGGTGACCTCCACCTGAACCAAATCCACACCTCATCTTTCTTTCCCTGCAGATTTGGTTCATTCAGCTTCTGAATGAACCTTCTCCTTCCACTTCCCCTGGTTCCAGCTCCGAAGCATCTGAGGGTTTTGGAGCTGGGGTCAGGGGCTCAAGGTCTTGGGGTCTTATCCATGTTGATGGTGGAGGAAGTTGAGCTTTCCGGTATTCCCAGAGTTTGTCTGCTTGCCTTCACAACCACCCCCTTGCCCTAAGCTTTCTCCTTGGAAGGACACATTTCTGTCTCAGGCAAAGACTTTGGCTCTGCTTTTCAACCTTTGTGGCAGGCTTCCGGGGTTGAGGGGAAACCCGAGGAGTGCCCTTGGATGCCTTTCATCTCTTTGTGGTTCTTGGTCCTTTCTGCTAAGGAGTTCTGTATGGAGCCCCGTCGGCTCCCTGATGCTATCCAAACTGACATATGCCATATTAGTTTGGTGTCATCAGTCCCTGGAGTTCTGAATGCCTACTGGAAAACTGCAAACCAACTAGCATCGTCCAATTGGCATCCGCTTGTTAGCACCCCCACCCTCCCTCGATGGGGAAGGGGGAGCCCACTCAGACAAGCGGGCAGCCCATCACCTCAGTACGTGACTGAGTTGCCTGGTGTTTACACGTCTCCTCTGGCCTCGCTTTCCTGTCTGGATTTTACCCTTGTGGCTGTGCCAGCTGTGTGTGGGGTGTCGGCCAAGTGTTCTCTTGTACGCTGGGCTGCGTGCACCAAGGGTTCCCTTTCCTAGGTGCCTGGTAAGTGCTTCCCTTTCATTCTAGAGCTATCTTCTCTGGGACGTTCAGGTTTCTCTCCCATTTGAGGGCTTCGTCGTTTGCTGTTCTTGCCCTTGGGGTACATTGGGGGTCTTGGGCCTCCTGTCTTGCCCCAGGTAGGGAGTGGGTTTTACTGTTTGGGGCGCACTTTAGCCGGCACAGTTTGCATACACGGCAGCCGACAATTCTCTCTGGTGGTTAGTTGTTTGTGTGTGTGTGTTGCTTCAGGGGTATTTGTATTGTTTTGTTTTTAGCATATTCACTTGCTTTGACAGAGGAGGTCTGCCTAACTTCCCATTCGGCCTGCCTAGGTTGTGTTGGTGGCCCTCCTCTGTTGCCCCAAGGTTTCACAGCTACTTCTGGTTGTCAATTTTCCTGCAACTGACAGGGCTTACCAGCTTAGCTAGCCCCAGTACCTGGGCTTCCCGTAGGGCTAATGTACCCTACTGGCCCTGGAAAACCCCATTTGGCTCAGGGGTACTATGGATGCATCTTCCGAGCCCTGTCTCGCCTTGTGCGATGCTGAAGGTTGTTCGTTGCCACTGCGTCATGGTAACGATCGCCCGTCCTGTCTCTGTCGTGCTGCCTGTTATGTGACATCTCCAACCCTGAGTCTTGTGGGTTTGTTATCAGCTTGTCATTTAGTTTCCCTGTTCCTTGTGAGGATGCTATGGGTCAGGCAGCGGCTTCGTTACATGGTAGGCGTTTTGTTGCAACGAGCCAGGTGGGTTACCCAGTTGGAAGCCCTGGAGCTGCCCTGCTTGGGGTTTTAGAACCAGGATTAGGGGCGTTAGTTATTTTCACAGTGGTTCCGTCCGTGCCCTTACTTCCTTCCCAAGTGGGTTCCTGATGAACTGGTGGAAGTCCCATATGGTTCCATCCCAGGTTCGGACCTGGCTGAGTCTTGTGTGGAACTCTCGGACCGCATCCTTGTCTCTCCTTCCGGAGTCTCTCCTTTGGCTGCGGTCCCGCATGTGCTTGTTTCTGGGGGGCTCCCGGATCACCCGGTGGTTGCCCAAGGCCTGTGCGGGAGCATGAACTTTGCGCTGATGGTCTGCTCGGTGGGTCGGGTTTGGCTTTGTCAGCTGTTCTAGTTCCTTCGGGAAAGTCCCTTCTGCCTCTCGCCATTGCTGGGTTCGACCCCCGGGGACCTTATCTCGGCTGCTGCATCGCCAGCTTCCTCTTCCGGTTTTCTCAGGGTTCAGTGCCTTGGCGCCTACCCAAGCCCTCGCTCGATGTGTTTTCGGACGCGTCGTCTCTTGGCTGGGATTTTGTGACCAGTGCTCACCATGCCGGCTAGGGGCAGTGGGATGTGTCCTTCCAAACAACCCTCTTTACGTCGGCATGGTCGAGGCATCTTCCGGTACATGTGGCACCCTCCCCCGACCGTGAGGCTGTCGAGATTGACGCCTTCCTGCAGGACTGGTTGAG